GATCGTGCACTGACTGCGGCTGGGAACCCTGCAACCTGGTACATGCCCTTGACCGGGAATCAAACTCCCGATCCTTGGTCCTCAGGCTGACCCGCTAACTGCTGAGCCAAACGGGCCAGGGAGTGTGTATCTTTTTGATAAGAGAGGTGGGCAAAGCATCACTAAGGAAATGACAGTGAAGTGTGACAAGGTTGTAGTAATCAGATGAGAGAATTCTACTTAATTGGTTTAAACAATTTGAATTATAAACTTAAGGATTTAAATAATTTTGAACATAAAATTATTAGAACTTGGCTAACAGTATTTCTTAACAGAAAGTGAATAGAACTTCATTTAATCATGTTATTCAGCAATACTTATGTATAGTATTGAGTCACCTGAAAATTATTTTGGGAGGCGGGCAAGAGACAAATCATAAATAAATACTCCTTTTTATTGTCACCTGTCATTTCAAGAGGTTTTATTTTATTTTCTTAGCTAGGGACTAAGAGCAGAAACCGAGTCCTAAACTTCTCTGTCTACTGGCTCCCCCACCAAAGTACTTTATTGCTTCATAAATAGCAAATAACTGTTTACTTGTTTATGATACTTCCTAAGTATTTGCAAGTTCTTGAAAACTTAAAGTTTTCTTAAGTTCATAATTAATAATTAATGCCAGTATTATCTTTTAGATATATTTTATTGATTTTTTACAGAGAGGAAGGGATAGGGATGGAGAGTCAGAAACATCAATGAGAGAGAAACGTCCATCAGCTGCCTCCTGCACACTCCCTACTGGGGGTGTGCCCGCAACCAAGGTACATGCCCTTGACTGGAATCGAACCTGGGACCTTTCAGTCCGCAGGCCGACGCTCTATCCACTGAGCCAAACTGGTTAGGGCTAAAGCCAGTATTATTAATTTTATAATAAACTTTCTTCTAAGGTTATTTTATCGAAAGTAAACGTAACCTGATTTTGTGACTACAATTTTAGTGAAGATTTAATGATAACCATAGCAACATAGCTACCATTTTGTTCTTGTCACCCGCAAGGTTCTAAACAATTTTATTAAATCCTCAGATCGACTTTTTGAGGAAGTTTTAAGAAAATAACCCTTATTTTGTAAAATGAACCTGAGGTTTTAGAGAAGAAAAGTAATTTGCCCAATCTCACATAACTGGTACTGCCTAGGATTTTAAAAAATACATATTTTATGTTTGGGAAATTGGTTCCTGTACTAAATAAAATAAACAATTTGGTAAAACCAGTAGATCTAAACTGTAATGTTATTAATCTCATCATTCGTTTCCTTCAGGCTACTGAATTCAACCAATGGAAGAATGTCCTATTTATCATACAGTTTCTTCTTTCCTGTTTTTTGGGGTAAGAAATCATAGATAACTACAAGCTTTGGTCTATGGCATCTCTTGACAGGTAATATAAAAAAATATACATTCTCTCTGTTCTGTCAAAATTCCTTTGTTTGGGCTTCTCCACTTTTCTCTGGAAAGTACCCCTGTAGCAGAGGAGTGGACTGGGACCTATGTCACATGCCACATTCTATTCCAAACATGATGTTGCCTATTGATTCCCGACACTTAGTTTGACATGAAGCCAGCAGTTGGACATCCCCCAAGGGGTCCTGGACTGTAAGAGGGCGCAGACCGGGCTGAGGCACCCTCCCCCCCCAATGCACGAATGTCATGCACTGGGCTTCTAGTGTTATTATAAACTTGAAGAGAGACCATTCCATGAAGGGAATCAAGAAGTGAGCCCTCTGGGGGAGCTGTCCTGTAAGTGCTGTGGCCTGTGGAGCTGGGTGGGAGCTGTCACTCTCTGGGGCTTGACCCCATCTGTGTACGTAGTTCCATATACCGCCCCCCCATTTAATAATGTGCTTTTTAGAAAACAAATACTCTCCTGTTAAAAGTTTTTAATATACTATTTTATCAGTACTCACTTTGCAAATGAAATGTCGTAAAGCATAGTAATTATAAATAAATTAGAAAAATGATGAAATCATTAACATTTTGGATTTCACCCAACTTTAAGGATGAAAACTTGGTAGGTCTCAGTTGTTGTTGTTGTTTTTTATTTAATTAAATCTTTATTGTTCAGATTATTACATTTGTTCCTCCTTTTACCCCCATAACTCCCCTCCACCTAGTTCCCACCCCACTCTCCGCCCTCACTCCCCACCCACTGTCCTCATCCATAGGTGCACGATTTTTGTCCAGTCTCTTCCCGCATCTCCCTCACCCCTTTACTCCCCAAGAATAGCCAGTCCATTCCCATTCTATGCCCCTGATTTTATTATAATCACCAGTTCATTCTGTTTATCAGATTCTCAACTTGATTTTCAGATTCTCTTGTTGATAGATGTGTATTTGTTGTTCATAATTTGTATCCTCTCTC